ATAAGTCTCCTCCTTGGGTATAAATATGTTTGACCATTTGACCTTGACCTTGGAGTTTGACCAACTTTTAAACAACTTTAGCCTTGACAATAACTTTTGAATGACTAGTACTAGGGCTTTTATATTACATAGGTAATTTTCTTGTGACAAGGCCTGTCAATGTATACCTTTAATTTTGACCATTTTACCTTGACCTTTGAGTATGTCCTACTTTTGAAAAACTTTAACCTTGGTTTTAACTTTTGAACAGTTGGTGCTAAGGCTTTTTTAATACCACGTGTGTATTCCTTGTAACAATTAAGACCTTCCCTCAAGTACAAACAATTATGATCCCTTGACCTTGGAGTTTGACCTTTTAAAGAAATTAACCTTGGCCATAACTTTTAAACTGTTGCTGCTGTGGCTTTCATACTAGTATATATTTCACAGTATATTCTTTGTTCAAGACCTTTATTTGGGTAATAACATTTTTTTTTATCTTTTGATCTTGACCATGGAGTTTGACTTGCATTTGAGAAACTTTTAACTTTTGCCATAAGATGCCATATGGGGCATCAGTGTTTCAAAAATCACACGTTGTTCAGAATCCAAATCGGGCATAAAACATTTACAATGATCCTTTAAAGCAGTAAGTTGAACCTAATAAATTACGACTATAGAAATTATGATAATTTATTTCGATGTATGGTCTAAAAAAACGTTTATTATACCTCTGTGAAAACTAGCTTACAAGTGAAAAATCACTAGTAAAATAGAATTTGATTGGCCGAGAAAGTCACGTGTCCATCATGTTTGCCCTGCAACAAAACGTCGTGTTTCACGATTGTGACGTCACAATTAAACGAGTGAGGAGTTAGATTGTTTATAGCGACGCTGCTAACTTCGTTCGCGCGGTAACAACAACTAAAAATTCACCCCAAAAAATCACCTTAATTAATGGAATTGCATACAGATAGTAGATTAAACGTTCTTTGTTAAAATGTTTGCACTTTTCAAAATTCGTTTATGGAAATACAGCTAACATACGTCATGAGACGTCACAGTCTAGACGTTCCAAATGTCTCGTGCTGTTTGAAGAGGCGGATCTTAAAATTAAGTGAACAATGCACTCGCCCAACGGTCGCACCGTCAACATATTATCGTTGATTGATTGTGTCGATTTAAATGTGTAAAAGTGTAATGGTGTTTGAATGTTACTGGTGTGATCACACAAACTTGTCACGTAGGAATTTTTTTTATGAAACGAGGCTATTGGTGTACCTGTAACTTACATCTCTTTCATATCGTTCTCATCAAATGCATGTTTGCTTTATTCATTGGATCTCCTTTGTAATTCCTGCATTTTGGTTAATTCGGTATTATAAACAATTTATTGCATAATAGTGAGGGAGACATAAGATTTCTTCGCAAATGAAAAATCATATTTCCCTCGGGCGTTGCCTCCGGGGAGTATGATTTTTCATGGGCGAAGAAATCTTCATGCTGCCCTCGGGGAATATGATTTTTTATGGGCGAAGAAATCTTCATGTCTCCCTCACTATCATGCAATAAATGCAAACTGTGAACTTGTCAATTCCGAAACACACACAAGGGTATCGCTGATATCATACAGAGTGTATCATTGCCTTGATCAGGCCTATAGGAAGCAAATTCAGGGGGGGGGGGGGCAGCCATACATTTTCAGTCGACAGTTCAGGGGGCACTACTACCATAAATTTCCTGACAAGCAAAAAAAAGGTCACCAACTACCAAAAATTCCTTGACAAGCAAAAAAAAAAAAAAGGTTATCAGACGTTTTTATTGAGGTGGCACAAGCTATAGTATCTATGTCTACTATAGTAATCTATATATCGGCAAAATTATTGGGGGGCCCTCCCTCGGTTCCTACGGCCATGTTGATTAAATTTAGGGTCACTAAGGAAAGAATGTTTTGACTGGATGAATGGTCTGAAGAACATGTGTTAACTTGTCGAGTCGGTAACACATAGATGGGGTTTGCTTATAACCAGAGTGTGTCATGGTTTGATGCAAGGTCATTTGAACGAGTTCAAGGTCATCAACGGAGAAACAACATTCCTTAACTGTCTTTCTACTGGTGAGACATTGCAAGTTGATACCCCTTACAAGATTGCTTATAACCTTAGAATGTGGCATGACCTTGACTCAAGGTCACTTCTTCCTGTTCGCAGCTCCAACGGAAGACCTACTCGTTGCTTTGCAACGAGCTCTGCTCTAGTTATTATAAGTATTTGTTTCTTATTTACAAGCCCTCACCATAGAAAGATTTCAGTAACCTTTTAACGTCCACCCTAAAGACATGTTATTTCCACAAATATAAGTACACATTCCACTGGATTATTCATTCATTGAGGTGGCTATTGTTGGTTATTTCATTGAAACAAGCTGCCGAGAAGCAAACTGTGTCAACCCAAATAGCATAAAAAAAAACAACCAAATTATTTCTGTCATTAATAGTACACTTCATCTAAGCTGGATTTGCTAGATGAGAGATTAATTATCACTTTTAAACTCGCCATTTTACACTGTGATAAGATGATGTTGAATAAATTATCCAATCCATCGACATGATTAATTGTTTACACACTGTCATGAAATATTAATATTTATAAAGCAGAGCGCAACAGTTGAAAGTAAATGTACAGATTAACATTAATTTAAAAAAAAAAGATCACTTACGTTTCCTTCCACCAGTAAAAGGATCGGAAGCAAAATAATCGGTGTAATTATAATAAGCAGGATGTTCCGAACACTAAAAATCAAATTCAAGACATGCCGACACGATTTCCTCGAAGGTAGCCGAGAAGACGTTCCAGGTGCCATTATTGTGTCATTCCGTGTCGGTTGACCGCCAAGTCCAGACAACTAAATGACTCTAACAGTCCATCTACCTATTTTGTCATATCGGTGTTTATATTTTCATGAATACCTTAATCTCCACAGAGGATACAGATTATCAGTTGTTGTCCTGGAAGTATGTTCATGTGATTAAGTTGAATCGGTGCCTTACAAGGATGCTTAACTTAATATGGTCTGATAATTATCGGTGCACTTTATAATATATCATTCTGTACAAGGTTCTTAACATTGTTAAAAGTGGCCTATATGTCATTTTAAAAGGGAGTGAGGTAACCATAATTCATATAAAAAAAAATCAAGAATACCTGTATCTCTATAAGTGCCAGATACTTAAAAGCACTTTTAAAAAAAATCGAAATTTGAACTGAGTTTCAAGGAACCTCCGGCAACCAGGGGGTCGTAACAAACATTAGAAAGGGTATTTAAGTCCAAGACCATGCTTAAGTAGGACTTAAGTACAGTCTTGTAGACTTAGGACCGTAACTAGAAGCGTGCAAAGATCTGACAATCTTAGAAAAACTTGGGCGGCCGGAAGAGCTGACTTAAGTATGTCTTAACTACATGTACATGTATCTTATACACATATTTAAATCATTCTATTAAATGCTAAAATCTCGACTTTTAAACTTTCCTTTATCCACATTACATGTATGCATGAAAGAAAATAATTTATGGTGCGTAATACTCCTATATGAATTTTAGTTTTTTTGCTGAGGTGGGGGGGGGGGCAGATTTGTTGATCACTGATTCCAATATCACTAGTACTCTCAACATGGCATACATGTATATGTAAATGCAAAATTTTATTTTTGGGATACGTTTAAAAAACCCACTAGATTATAAACACTACTTACCATACGTAACTTGAACAAAGAAATCATGAATTCTGTGTATGTTTGAATTCTTCGTCTTCACAGATAAAAACGGATTAAAACAATACATGTAAAGCTACCTGTCGTATTGTAAAATAGATTTTTTTTTAATCCTGGTCACAAGCATTTTCTGTAAAACGACGACCAGATATAAAATCTCACTACGTACATAAATATCGTGAAAAATACGCATTTAGTGCCTCTCTGAAAAATCGCACGGATACAGAGTGATGGAAAAGAAATACTAAGGTGAGAATTTTCAAGTAATTCGGTTTATTTTTTTTTTAATCTAATTAATTGTATTGATAATGCACCTAAGTTTACAGACAATAAATGTAGATATCGAATGTAAGCCAGAAAATAATAAATTCTCATAAAAGCACTCGTTTGCTATGTGCATGACCCCCCCCCCCCCCCGTAAGTCCTACTTTGTATATGTATACAGTGAACAAATAAATGTGTGTGTTTTCCTGTATTCAACAGACACTTGCTACACTTGCCAGTTGGAATTTAATGACATAATTTTCCCCTGTTTGGAGGTTGTACGTGTAGATAATGCATAAACGAAGAAAGTGATCTAATAAAAAACACTTTTTTCTCAATTTACATGTACATGGGATGTTGGAGGTTGTAAATAATACATAAACGTATAAAGTGAAAACGTTTTTTTTTTTCTCAATTTATATGGGATTTTAAATATTTCTTACGTATGTGAAAACTCAGAGGCGCCTGAAAGTTAGCTTTCAAATCCATTGCTCTGGTCCTAAGATTATGAAGCAGTCTCAGATTTTTAAAACATAAATATATTTTTTATATAATAATAGGGAAAGTAAAATTAACAACATATAAAAATCATTGTTATACATGTATTAAATTTGTGTTTAGCGACATAATATAGTTAGAGTAATGCGTTGAATTTCGCGGATATTTTTATTGTGACGTCACTTTCCTTTACGTTGAAATGAATTGTTTTGGGATATTTTACTTATACATGGATAAATTCTGGATATGTATGCCTAATTTTTGTGTAATAGAAACTAATTTTCTCAAAGGTACAGTTGTGTTTTAACCATTTTGACAGTATAATTTTTGAATTGAAGTTAAAGATTTATTCTTTTCCTGACAGTGTTTTCTTTATTTTGAAGTATTTCGAACTTGTAATTTGAGAATGAGAGAGAGAGAATGTATGTCCGTTAATTTTTTAAGGAATGTAAGAGAGGGTGGGAAGTTTAAATCTTTAGAAAATCCACACGCTTCAGTGAATATTCACCTGAATAGACAGATTGAATAGATAAACGTCACTCGGTAAATATACACGTCGTTGTACCTGAAGAAAAATAATAAACAGGACGTACGAAAACCAGGTACGTGGCAAAAGTAGTTTCCCAGTTTTTACATTATGATATTTTCATTTCTGTAGTGTCTGATTGATGACCAATTACACAAACTACGAAAGCAAAAAAAATCAGCTTTGTCTCATTTTCGTCTTCTACTTTTAATTTACTCCTGGACCAGAATTTTTTTTTTTGACTGAGAAAGTGGTTTGTTTATAGAAGTCTTATCAGCGTATTCTATAGTGTGTGTAAGTAAGTACAAGTACAGAGTCAAGGTCTACTAAGAACTTCACTTACAATAGCCTCTTAAGATCTCTTCATGAGCATATTTTCTCTAGAGTGCCTTTAGCGAGGTTTAAAAAGATCCAACGTACTAAGCAATTTTATTGTTAAAGTTATTGTTGATATCCGTAGCTGTAAAAGTAAGTCCAAATAACTGAAATTTATTTCTAACAAGGAACACACTCATTTGCACGGGTAGTAAGGAACATGCTTATATGTACTAAGTCTTTCATCTAGATCCACTGCTCTTCCTACACCTTATAATATTCTGTGACTTTGATATCATTAGCCAGGGGTCATCGTATTTATATCTGGCAATTGTCATTTCGTTTATTTGTATCTCGACACCATTTCACAATTTGTAAACACAACAATAACCCCCCCCCCCCCAGGAAAAGTTTGAAAGGAAAAAGTATGACCACAGAAAACGGGCTAAATACAGACCTTCACAAACTGAAATAATAATAAAATAGTGCAATAATGATTGTTTTAATACTGGGAAAACATGTACATATATTTCACGATAAAGGATCGATACCTTTCACATCTGCTACGGTAAAGTGCATATTACTTTATCTCGATTGCCATGCCTTTTTAATCTAGCTAACAAGTACACGTATATGAGGCGAAAGCTCAAATAAAATTTGATCGAATTTGTATTTTTTTAATTTTGTAATAGAAAATCACATCTGGAGGGAATATTTAGTATACACGGTAAAGTTCAAAAGGGGGTATACATGTACATGTACGTTTACTAAATAAATAGTATTTATTTGAAAGGGGAAAGTTTCCTACCTAGTTACGTAACAGCGGGGTATAATTTTCTATACGACACCTGTATACGTTTGAGTAAATGCACATTTTTAAAATCTTGTACTGAGTCCATTTTGTAGAGTTAACACAAGGTTAACTGTTGATTTTGCCAATCGGGTTTTTGTTAATTCATTTTCAAAAGCCGATACCTCTTTTTAGTTTGCCAAACTCAGCGTCTAGGGTCAAAATTGGGATATAAAGAAGTACTTACATTTGGGTATTTTTTTTTTAAACATTGAGCTTTTTCTCGAGAAAAATGGGTCCAACTGATTTTTTAAGACCTGCTGATTACATGTACAATAGATTAAAGTTCAATAAATTGACCAATTACTATTCATGAGTTATAGTGGGACTTTTTTTCTCACAAAGGAAAGTGATACAGATGAGCGTAATCGTTCATAGGCCTCCAACATTTGAAATGCATAGCATATGATGCACTCTTAGCCTAGTTACAAATGTGCGTATCCGGTATATACAACCTAGACGACACGTCAATTCAATTAAAAACAAAGTGTAAGATCCTCTTGATTTGTGTTTTCTCAAGCATCAATTTAGATTGGCAATACTTATCTTTAATCTAGGACATCAATTTAAATCAGCATTAAAAATACAAGGTAAGTTTTTTTTTTTTTTTTTTTTTTTTTTTTTTTTTTTTTGAATTACTTTTAGGTGCCTCAGAAATAGTGTTAATGTATTCCCGGTCAAATTTCAAGGTACACTAATAGTTGGTAACCTACTGTCGATTTAAATTTAAAGGATAGCAAATTGCAATCAAATGTGAATTCAGTGTTTTCAATTTTAATTTTGTGTCACCTAAATTTGCAAAGACATGTGAATGTTTGCATCATCGACAATAAGAGACACTGAGTGTTTATCATTACATTTCCTACTCTTGAAGATGTTTGACAACACTTTTTGGGGGTGGGAGGCTCTTTTTGAAAGTACCTGAACATGTATTATGTTCTTTTCTTCATTATACATTGGTAGGAAAGGGAAAATGGAAGGAGGGGTAGTATCCCTCACACTCCCCCCTCCCATCCTCTCTTCCTCCTCTTTCTCATTATCTCCTCTTTTATTCCCTCTTCTTATCGTCTTTTCTGCCGCCTCTTCCGTCATCTTTTTCTTTTTTCTCCTACAGATATTCCCTGTCGACGGCAAAGTTAACATACACTGAAAATATTAAACATGTCAAATTGAATCGAAGATAGCTGCATATAAATGTATAACGATAAACAGTTTTATTATCTCTCGATAAATTAGAGCGAGAACTCACAAGAACTTTCGACTATTTTTGTAATCAATGTAGCGACAACATATCTATGTGTACTGATTGCATGAAAGTAAGTCCTTCGACAGATATATAATTTTCATATACTTCTTACAATGTACGAGGAATATTTAAATTGTTTTTCAGGGGACGTTTCAGGATGAGATGAGGGTAATTTGGTGTTTTCTTGTCATCTGCATTTTATGCACAAATGTCCACTCGAGACAACTTCATCAACAGCAGCGCCTAAGGCAACTTCTTCAACAGCGGCGACAAGGTCAGATTAAAAAGAATAACTCTGAGCGTATTTATATATACAGTGTTTCATCTGGTCCATTTTATTACCCATAGATTAATGTACATGTATTTATTCGGTCACAAGGTATGGTCAAATTTTAACTCCACTATCTCTCATTTTTAAGAGGAAATTCATTTCACACAATTTTATCTCTGCGATCAAGCCTTCTCATATTTCTCAAACCAAGTTCCTAACCACAACATTCTTACAGAGTAAAATTGTATATGTTAGCGATTTCAAGATCATTTTATGCCATCCGATTCATTTTATCCGTTTTTTTCCCTCTTGTAAAGTTTCCATGTTACGTTAAACATATTAAAATTAGGTTTTTGCCTCATCGCAAGTAAGAAAAAAATGGCTCTCAAAGACGCTTGAGTCTACAAGTATACATGAAGTTTCGTTAGAGCTACATGTATAAAGATTTGGGAAGGTTTAATTATATGAGGTAAAGGATAAGTTTACCTGTCTTGGAAAAAATCGAAGTACCATACTCAGGTGAGTGTGAAGGTCCTTGGACCTCTTGTCCTACCAAAAAGAATTATAAATTGTTAAATTTTTACCCTCAGATTCTGTACCCTTGCTTTGTAGTTGGTGACATACACTGACCAAAATGGGGGAGGATATGTCGTACACAACAATTAGAAAGTCGCACATACGAAGAAATATGTTGTATTGCAAAAAACTACATGTACATGTAATTTTGAACAATATTTTTATTTTAATTTTTTAAACCATGCAGGATTGTATGTGTACATTATCCCAATCTAACAGATATTATTTAAAATTGTAAAATAAAATAATTCTTATAAAAATTTTTATTCAGAAATAAATGTCAAAGTTTCTGATTGGTTGATATTGAAAAACGAGGAATATCGAAGATGGCTTGGAAAGGTGGCGTTTGCCAGCTGGAATTATGAAACGGATCTATCCAAAGAAAACGGTAGAAAGGTAAACAGCCCAGAAAATTGTAACAACGATTTTTTTCCCTCATAGATTTAATGTAAAAGTCAGATTTGACATGCATTATTCTAATGTTTTCGAAATTTAAAGTTCGTAATGTGTTGTATTTGTGCAGTGTAATTTAATTAACTATGAGAACTGTTTCACGAACAGTTGAATGAAGTCAATATAAGATTTGCATCATGGCAAAAGAAATGTGTGGAAGAGGCATCGCAGAAATTAAAGATTCCCGGCCTGGCAGACGATACCCGACACCAACTTCGGATTTTATCTTATGACGTCAATCCTTCTGACCCAACAAAACTCAGGTTTGTCAGTCAGTTCTATACATTGATAAGAGTCAGACATGAGAATTATGTTCAAATGTTGGTCACAGGTTTTAAAATACCAAAAACAAAACAAAAACAAAAAATACTGAACAAGTCGCTGAAATTAACTTGACATAAAACTATGTTTAAAATAATTTCTATTTCCTCAAAATCTGTTTAAGATTTGCCAGAGAATGCAAGGGAGAGGGTGGATTAGCGTGCCCATCACTAACTTTTTCTTTTAATCTTTGAAAAAATATATGTGACAGTGCTGTACCTTTACACAAAGTTCTATAAAAATTAAAAAAAAAACCAGTAGGAGTAGAAACATTTCAAACAAATTCATTGCATGATACAATGAAACTCTAATGTTCAGTGTTGTACAGTCATGTTCATGTAACAGTTAATTTAAAAAAAAAATACACAAAATTAAGTAAGGATATTTAGTCATAGTTAATTTTGAATAACAACAAAGACCCGTAGCAACGGTTTGAAATGGGGGGGGGGGGGGGCAACTTCCCAAAATAATCTGACAAGCAAAAAACCCATATAACTGTCAAAAATTCGGGAATTTGCCAGTGCCTTAGAGCAACGAAAGGTCGGGGGGGGGGGGGCAACCAGCATCTAAAGAAATTTTACTATAATTGCAAAATACTATAATCAGAAAAAGTGCCCCCCCCCCCTGCGTTCTACGGGCCTTTTACAACACTGTTTCTCTAACTTAAAGCATTTAATTCCCTCTGTATATACATGTAGCCTAGCGTACATTCATACCATAAAAGAACTCTGAAACTATTGACATGGAATACAAAGTGTAGACAGAAGGCAGAGCAACTTCGTAAGCTCTTAGGTCTATTACCAATAAAGCCTCAATAATATCAATGATCAATTTTCTTTTTTTTAAAAATTGTCATTGAAATAGTCCAAATTTAAAAAAGCTTCCCTACAAACAATCGAGGTACCTTGTCAGGCATTTGTGCAAGATATTAGATGATGTGTTTCCTAGTATAATGATAATTATCAATAATTTTTTTTATATATTATGAAGAAATACAAAACATATATTGAAGGAACATGACCTTAACATGTATTTTGACAATCTTGCAGATACATAATTATACGTATACATGTACATACAGAATTCACATCTTTTAACCTTGTAGGAAAATGAACAGCATTCAAACCAAATTAGAAGAAATATATGGAAAGGGAACCGTAGTTTTCAATGGTACAACTATCCAACTAGAGCCAGGCATAACCAATATCTTCGATTCATCGCGAGATCCTGCAGTTTTATCCGATTTATGGGTGAAATGGCGAGATGCTACCGGAAAGAAAATGGCCAATCTTTACACAGAATGGGTAGAACTTCAAAATACTGGAGCATTGGAACACGGTACAAGAGCTTCATCAATTTAAATTTGTACATGATTGTGATAATTTTATTTTATCGATAGATGTTTTTGTGATCATTTTATTTTATCGATAGATGTTTAAAATGTTTGGAAGGCAATCTTGTCATTTTCACCATATATATATATATATATATATATATATATATATATATATATATATATATATATATATATATATATATATAAAACATACATGTATCATGTTGAAGAATTGTCATCTTGTAAATTTTGAATTACTGCCACCCGGTTATTTCAAAATTTACAACATGAGAGAATGCTCTCTTTTTTTTTATCAAGGTTTTGAGAACTTGGGAGACGCTTGGCGTCAGAAAGAATTTTTTGACACACCGGAACTTGTAGAAATTGTTGAAGGATTGTGGCAGGAGATCAAACCTTTGTACGTTCAGCTGCATAGTTATGTTCGCCGGAAGTTGAAAAATTATTACACTCAGCATCATCCGACCTACGACTTTCCAAATGATGGAAGTATTCCTGCGCACCTATTAGGTAACCATGAATGGCGTGTATATAACTTAGTATTAAGCAACACCAAATTTGCCTGATACTTGTATACGTCGTTTAGATATTGTGTTTGGTGAATATGTCTATGTTAACTAATTTCTATTTTTCGGTACAAAGGACAGTACATGTATGAATAACTTTTTTGCGTTTTAATCTGTTTTGCTTTTATGCTGTAAGGGGGAGAAATTGAGTATAGCTTAGAAGCTTTAAAGATAGAAACACATGTTATAGACAGATGTCTACATCTACAATTAATATACACTTGACATCTTTCTCACCAAAAAAATGTAAATTATAATTTGAAACGAATACTGTAAATTTCTTATTTTATGCGAGTACTAAATGTCGCGAAATGGCTGTTTGACATCAAATAGCGAAAATAATCATTCGCGAATGCACGGTTGATCTAAATGTTTTACATGCCTTAGATTTAAATCATAAGAATACATGCGAGTAATTTTCTTTCGAGAGTGGTGCTTCTTCCGAAATTACGCGATTATTAATTACTCGCGTATATTTAGGAATCTACAGTATCAATAATGACATTCTGTAACAATCACTATTATACTTGTACATATTATTTGTATTTCCCGCGTTTTGTCCCTATGCCCCATCTACCCATAAGCCCTTGCAAAATAGCTTGGCCGACCAGAACAATTGAGGCCTGGTCATTCCCGGCAGAGAAGCGTAGCTGCAGACACGTTTCTACAATTGAAGCAGCTAGTGTACATGCAAATAGCTGCCATACAATCAGTATCTTGGCTTTGGCATGGAGACAGGTCCGTGGTAAGTATTTACTTATAATATTATTAATATTCGTTATGTATATAGTTTTTTTAAGTAAATTTATTACTGAATACGTATTCGTTCTTATTTCTGAACTTGGCCAGCTCTCACAATTTTACCTGTTGTTCAGTCAAGTGTGACGGTTAGCGAGAGTGTTCGAATGGCTTTTGTATTATATCGATAGAGTTTAAAGGTGTTATTGTACGCAGTTTTCTTGTATTCAGATTTGTTACATTATGTGAAATATTTTGTCCATTTAAATTTTGGTTTAAATGTCTGGGCGGAAGTGAATGACCGGAAGTCGAAAGTAAGGTGCGCCATGTTGGCAATAATTTGTTTTGACTTATGTTAACTGGTAACCATTATAATTTATACCTATTGATTGATTTATTTATTTATGAGAATGAATTGCCAAACATAGTAGTGTTGCCAAACATTATTTAGTGAAACATGTGACTTAAAAATATTCGTCATTGTAGCGTCAAGAACACTGGTATGACATGTGCTAGATACATGCACTAAGCTGAGGGGATCGTCGAGACACAGCGAAAGGTTCCAGGACTACGGCCCGGAAGGATGCTGTGTGTGGAACAAGATTCGCTGGGGGTGGACAGATACAGATAAGTCAATCCACGTAACATTGTATTAGCTCGTTATACGAACACTGACGAAATGGCAAACCTAATGATTTCATTCCTGCATCGAAGAAGAGGATGATGATGTTGACGAAGATGATGTTGATGATTATGACAAGGATAATCATGGATCGGTGAACATGTTTGGCAATGATACTTTGAGTGAAATCTATACCCGGGGTTAATTGGTTAATTGTCTGATTATTGGTTACCAATTGCTATTATTTTTTTTTTTTGTTTAATAGTGTGGAAGAGTGTGTGGATCAGAGTGTGGTTGTCTGTTTGAAATCTTCTTTATTATTATTATTATTATTATTTTGTAAATAAATTTATTAAAATTTAGTTGAATTTGTGTGATTTTTTGGAGATAGCCAGCTTGACCACGTGACATTTGGTGGCAGCGGTGGGATTGCTGACCCTCTCCAAATTACACATTTTCACTATTTAGGTGAAGGTTTGCCAAGTAGATGTAAATAGGTTAGGTTGCTCTAGTAGTAGTTAGTCTTGGGATTCCTGTACATAGTAAGATAGAGGTAAGTGAAAGAATGGTTCTCTCTTAAGTAGGTCAAAGGTAAGGTGGTGTTAGACATATTTATTAATTGGAAAGTATATTATCCTTGGATTATTAAAGTTTTGGTAAGGTGGCTCAGTTCTTATAGGCACGATGTCTACCATCAAGGAGATGAAGGAGCTCTTGGAAATTGGGACGCAGATGGGACTCAAGGATGCAGAACTTCAACAGTTTGTGAATAATGAACAAGCAAGACTCCGAGATGAACGTGAAAAAGATCGTGCAGAACGCATGGCTAAACAAGAACGTGACTTTCAACTAGAATTGGAGATCAAGAGAGAGCAAAACGCTGAGGCTGAACATAAAAGAAAAATAGAAGAGATGGAAATAGATCACAAATTTCAAGTGTTGGCAGCAGAAAGATCACAGAAAGTTCTTGAGTCTACAGCCCTGCATCACCCTGAAACCCAACAACCTGTTAGAGGACCAAAACTACCAGCATTTGATGAGGCAAAAGACAACATCGACGCATATATACAACGCTTTGAAAGATACGCTATCTCACAGAAATGGCAAAGAACAAACTGGGGAGCTCACTTGAGTGCACTTCTAAAAGGAAAAGCGTTGGACGTGTTCGCTAGATTACCACCAGATAGTGCATTGGACTTTGATGAACTTAAAAAAGCCCTGATGAAACGTTTCGACATGACTGAGGATGGATTCAGAAAGAAATTCAGATCTTCAAAACCCGATGGGAGTGAAACCTTTCTTCAGTTTTCAACAAGAATCGAAAGTTATCTGGAGAGGTGGATGGAATTAGCGAAAATAAATAAGACGTATGAAGGACTCAAAGACTTGATGTTGCGGGAACAATTTATTTTGTGTTGTAACAAAGAACTTTCCTTATTCTTGAAAGAACGAATTCCTCCTTCTATTCAGGATATGGCCAGATATGCTGATCAGTTTGTTGAGGCAAGAGCAACTAGTTCATCAGCTGTTACCCAGAGACCTATCTTCGAAAAGAAAGTTTCCATAGGAAAGCAATTCTCCTTTCTAAGCACTAGTGACAGTAGCAAACCCAGTGGTGGAGTCAAGTGTTTTAATTGTGACAAATACGGACACAAGCAGTTTGATTGCCCCTTAAGGAAATCTTCCGCAACCAAGACAGCAAACACTCTGGAAAAATCTGACAGACCACAAAAACCATCCCGCTATAGTGAGCAACAACAGAGCTTCAACAGATCTGGACGTCGATTTTCACAGGGGAAAGAACATGATTCTTCTTTTGTTGGTGCCCATAAACCATGGCTACAAAGTGACATTAGTGACATTGATTCCGTTTCTAGTGGTGTGATGCCAGTTGTGAAAGGATGTGTTGGAGACAGACTTGTGACAGTGTTAAGAGATACCGGATGTCGTGGTGCGGTGATTCGGAAAAGCTTGGTTACTTCAAACCAAATGACTGGAAAAACTCACAAATGCATGCTGGCTGACGGAAGTATAATAGATGCAGATGTTGCGATAGTTGAAGTTGACACACCATATTTTACTGGAACAATTGAAGTATCGTGCTTTGAAACACCAATGTTTGATCTGATTCTTGGAAATTTTGATGGCGTTCGGAAACCAGACAACCCGGATATTCACTGGATGAAATCAACTAAACCTTCATTTGCTGTTGAGACACGCAGCCAACTAAAGAAAAAGCAGTTACCTTATAAACCATTGAGGGTTCCTGAAACTCTACAAGATGTATCACGGGATGAGATGTTAAGTGAACAGATGAGGGATGATTCATTAAGCAAGAGTTGGGGCTTTGCTAAACAAGAGACAGTAAAGGAGCTTGGTGATGGAGGTTCAACTCGGATGTATATACGGAAGCAATTACTCTACAGAGAATTCAGTAGTCCAAAAGTGTCAAATGGAAAGACTTATCGACAGCTTATGGTTCCGAAAAAGTACAGATCACTAGTTATGAAGATGGCTCATGAATGTCTTATGGCAGGCCACTTGGGTGTTAAGAAGACCACAGACAGAATACTAGCAGAATTCTTTTGGCCAGGAGTACAAGCAGACGTCAGGCGATTTTGTCGTTCATGTGACGTGTGCCAACGAACAATACCTAAGGGAAAAGTACCTGCAGTTCCTCTTGGACAAATGCCCATGATATCAGAACCATTTCAACGCATTGCTGTGGATATTGTTGGTCCACTCCAGCCAATCACAGACAGAGGAAATAGATATATCCTCACTATTATAGACTATGCGACCAGGTATCCAGAAGCTGTGGCACTGCAAGGAATTGAAACTGAACGAGTTGCAGAAGCGCTTGTAGACGTTTTCAGTAGAGTTGGTATTCCATCTGAAATGCTTACAGACCAGGGTTCACAGTTTACATCTGAAGTTATGAAAGAAGTTAGCCGATTGCTGTCACTCAAACGCCTAACTACAACGCCGTATCATCCGATGTGCAACGGCCTTGTTGAAAAATTCAACGGCACGTTGAAGCAGATGCTCAAGCGCATGTGTGCTGAACGCCCTAAAGACTGGGACAAGTACCTCAACGCACTACTCTTTGCTTATCGTGAGATACCTCAAGAGAGCCTTGGATTTTCACCCTTTGAGCTTCTATATGGTCGATCAGTGCGTGGCCCAATGATAATACTGAAGGAACTATGGACCAAGGACATACCAGACAAAGAGGTGAGGACTACATACCAATATATTCTAGATTTAAAGGAAAAACTTGAAGAGACTTGCAAGATTGCTCATCAACAATTGGAAAAAGCAAGGAAGCACCAGAGAAAACATTATAACAAGAGAACAATTGATCGAAGGATGAAAGTTGGTGACTTAGTACTTGTTCTTCTTCCTACAAAGTCAAATAAACTTCTGATGCAATGGCGAGGGCCTTACAAAGTTGTACAGAAAGTTGGCGATATGGATTACAAAGTTGAGATGCATGGTAAACTAAAGACACTTCACGCCAATTTGTTGAAAAAGTACATTCCTCGTGAGGAAATACGCTGTGGAGTTCTAACAACTTGCGCCATATCACTAATTGACTTCAGCGAAGAGGGAACACCGGATGAGCAGAATTTAATGATGCTACCAACAGATACTCAGACAGAAACAGTGTCAGATGTACGTTTCAATGAAGGACTGGATGCGAATAAGCTAGAATCGGTGAAATGTTTGTGTGAGTCGTATGCTGATGTTCTCACTGACGTTCCAGGAATGACTACACTAGTGAAGCATAAGATTGAACTGACATCATCAGATCCTATACGGGTGAAGCAGTATCCTATTCCTTTCAATACCGAGAGTGTCATAAAGGAAGAAGTGGAGAAGATGTTACAGTTGAACGTAATAGAACCATCTGTTTCACCATATTCATCACCGGTAGTCATAGCCAGGAAAAAGGACGGAACAAACAGATTCTGCATAGACTTTCGAAGACTAAACTCTGTTACTGTTTTCGACGCTGAGCCTATGCCGAACACAGAAAGTATATTTTCAAAGATGGCAGGGAAGAAGTACGTTTCAAAATTGGATTTGAGTAAAGGATACTGGCAAGTTCCTATGGAAGATGAAAGTAAAGCTTTCACAGCCTTCTCAACACCGTCTGGTTTGTATCAATTTCGTACTATGCCATTTGGGTTAGTTAATGCCCCGGCGACGTTTAGCCGACTCATGAGGAAACTTTTACAGGGCATGGTAGGTGTTGATAACTTCATAGACGATATAATCGTATACACAGATACGTGGGAAGAACATCTAATGGCATTGAGAGAGTTATTTACCAGACTTAGGAAAGCAGGACTTACAGCACGACCGTCTAAGTGTTTCATAGGATATGATCAGATCGACTGCTTAGGACACGTAGTAGGTGACCAGAGACTGAAACCAGAGTCAAACAAGATAGAGGCTATTCGAAGTGCACCAGTACCCATGACAAAGAAGCAGGTTAGATCGTTCTTGGGATTGGCAGGATTCTACAGAAAATTCATACCGAACTTTCCAGCCATTGCCGCTCCATTATCAGATTTAACAAAGAAAGGTCAGCCTAACAAAGTAGTTTGGACAGATAATCAACAACGTGCATTCGATACGCTGAAACAGATGTTATGCTCAGAACCAATTCTGAAGCTTCCAGACTTCAGTGAAGTATTCATTTTACGAACAGATGCTGCTGATGACGGGTTAGGAGCAGTTCTTTTGCAGGAGGAACATGGAGAAAAGCTTCCAGTGGCTTACGCAAGCAGAAAATTGCAGCTCAGAGAGAAGTCATACGCTGTTGTAGAGAAGGAATGCTTAGCAGTAGTATGGGGAATTCAGAAGTTCCATCAATATCTATATGGACGTGAGTTTGTATTGGAAACCGACCATCAGCCATTAACATACCTTAACAAGTCCAAAACAGAGAATTCGAGGTTAATGCGCTGGGCTCTACAATTACAACCTTATCGGTTCCGGATAGAAGCTATAAAGGGAAGCCAAAACGTAGGTGCTGATTACCTTAGTCGCCAATAATCAGCTAAGGACAAATTAGTCAGGTTTGTATTAAGAATTTTGTAAATACGTTTAGTTATTTTAAAATTGTTAGGACAAGTTGGTAGTGATTGTTGTTTAAAAAAAAATGTTACCTTTTTTTTTAATTAAGGGGGGAGGTGTGTAACAATCACTATTATACTTGTACATATTATTTGTATTTCCCGCGTTTTGTCCCTATGCCCCATCTACCCATAAGCCCTTGCAAAATAGCTTGGCCGACCAGAACAATTGAGGCCTGGTCATTCCCGGCAGAGAAGCGTAGCTGCAGACACGTTTCTACAATTGAAGCAGCTAGTGTACATGCAAATAGCTGCCATACAATCAGTATCTTGGCTTTGGCATGGAGACAGGTCCGTGGTAAGTATTTACTTATAATATTATTAATATTCGTTATGTATATAGTTTTTTTAAGTAAATTTATTACTGAATACGTATTCGTTCTTATTTCTGAACTTGGCCAGCTCTCACAATTTTACCTGTTGTTCAGTCAAGTGTGACGGTTAGCGAGAGTGTTCGAATGGCTTTTGTATTATATCGATAGAGTTTAAAGGTGTTATTGTACGCAGTTTTCTTGTATTCAGATTTGTTACATTATGTGAAATATTTTGTCCATTTAAATTTTGGTTTAAATGTCTGGGCGGAAGTGAATGACCGGAAGTCGAAAGTAAGGTGCGCCATGTTGGCAATAATTTGTTTTGACTTATGTTAACTGGTAACCATTATAATTTATACCTATTGATTGATTTATTTATTTATGAGAATGAATTGCCAAACATAGTAGTGTTGCCAAACATTATTTAGTGAAACATGTGACTTAAAAATATTCGTCATTGTAGCGTCAAGAACACTGGTATGACATGTGCTAGATACATGCACTAAGCTGAGGGGATCGTCGAGACACAGCGAAAGGTTCCAGGACTACGGCCCGGAAGGATGCTGTGTGTGGAACAAGATTCGCTGGGGGTGGACAGATACAGATAAGTCAATCCACGTAACATTGTATTAGCTCGTTATACGAACACTGACGAAATGGCAAACCTAATGATTTCATTCCTGCATCGAGGATGAGGATGATGATGTTGACGAAGATGATGTTGATGATTATGACAAGGATAATCATGGATCGGTGAACATGTTTGGCAATGATACTTTGAGTGAAATCTATACCCGGGGTTAATTGGTTAATTGTCTGATTATTGGTTACCAATTGCTATTATTTTTTTTTTTTGTTTAATAGTGTGGAAGAGTGTGTGGATCAGAGTGTGGTTGTCTGTTTGAAATCTTCTTTATTATTATTATTATTATTATTTTGTAAATAAATTTATTAAAATTTAGTTGAATTTGTGTGATTTTTTGGAGATAGCCAGCTTGACCACGTGACACATTCTATACAGCGGGGAAAGAGGAATACATGTACCTTGTAGGCAATAAGAAAAAGTATTCTAAACCTGTAAAAGGTTGACATTATTATGTACTTGAATTTTAAGGAAATATGTGGGCACAAGAATGGGATAATATCTTTGACATTGTACAACCTTACCCGGAAGTGAAGGAACCGGATTTCGATAAGATAATGGTGGAAAAGGGTTACAATGTTGGCAACATGTTCCGGATTGCAGAGGAGTTTTATACTTCTATAGGACTGTATAAAATGGTGCCTGATTTTTGGAAACGCTCAATGCTAGTCCGTCCTAAAGAAAAAGACAGGGAGGTGCAGTGTCACGCCTCCGCTTTTGATTTCTACAACAATGATACTTTTAGGTAAACTGTACATGTATACATTGATAGTCTGGATTATCCTATTGATATAAAAGCTTTTCTGTATTGTCCTTTTCATATTGTGAATATTTTCCCTGCAGCAGATAGTTTTAAACAGATCGAAAAGCTATCTCCTTGCGCACAGTCATATAATTATGTACCGTAATCATTTTAGCGAGTCATAACAAAATTTCAAAACCAAAAATTGATTTTTTTTTCCATAGAATAAAAATGTGCACAGAAGTTAAAATGAATTATTTCCAAACCATACACCACGAAATGGGTCATATAGAGTACTTTATGGCCTATCGGAACCAGCCTGCAGTGTACAGAACCGGAGCTAATGGTGGATTCCACGAAGCCATTGGAGACACAATTGCACTGTCAGTGCGCACGCGCAAACATCTTCAGACCCTCGGTTTACTGGAGGAAAATTCTGTGTCTGATGAAGATAAAATGAGTAAGTGTATATTTCTGAGTTCGTATAGTTTGCATAGGCGTCAGAAGCAAATTGATAGTGGGGGGGGAGGGGGGCTAAACCCACAAAAATGTTTCTACATGTACGTCAAGCACACACATAAGCCCCAATTTTCATTGCCCATATTACGTCTTTGTAAAAAAAAAAAGTTGGAAGATAAGCCCCCTTAGCACCCTCCCCCTTGGTTCAGACGCCAATGGTTATGGTTACATGTACCCTCTAATGATGTTGATAATTTCATGAATTTCAATATAGTTGTAGATTCCGTAATTTCATGAACAAACATGTAAATATTATGTTTAAATTGTACCCTTTTTTGCTGTAAAAAATGCTCAATATCCAAACAATTTAAGTATTTATTAAACCGCATTATTTTGCAAATATTTATGTAAAAATATTCAACCCCCACAATGTTCAGCTACGTAATAATAAATTAATTTAACGGTATAGCAATTTTGACACTGTTGTAAAAATTTATTTTTTCCCCTTGCTTCGCATTAATCATCTAATTATTGGTCTATTTTAATTTAAAATGAACACTAAATAATTAAAAGAAAGAAAGCAGTTAACTTTCCATCCATCTCGATTGGAGGGGGTGCATAAACTAATACATGTATATGCATTTTTAAATTGCGAATATTAGTGTGTTTTTTAGAGATGATATGACGAGAAAATACAATGGTATTGTCATAATTTTTTGTGCTTTCTCGTTTGTTATTGAAAATTATTTGTTCTATAGCAAATTTTAGATTTAAATGCTTTTCCGGAAATTGCTCTCTAATGAGTTATTATAAATATCAAACATCGAATAACAAAAATTTTCTCAAGTTGCATGTACATGTATATATATATCATATAACAAATTAATGGATATTTAATTAATGAAAGGAACTTAGATGATTTATTTTATCACTATGAATTTTTCTCTATAAAAATATGACGAGTACACCATTTTTTTTTCTAAACAAACCCTGTCGTGGATTTTTTTTTTTATGCTATTTGCCAATGAAATTGTCATCGAACTATTTACTATTCAGCATTCCACTTCCCTCTCGTTTCATCTCGGAACTCTTCTAGCTGGTTTTATCGTGACAAATGTAGTCTATTCGGACAAGAGCAAGTTTATTGTCCCCCTCAACAGCAACTGTTTTCCTCGACTGCACCTCGTGGAATAGTTCCTGTCTTTGGGGGCAATCAACTTGATTTTGTCCTCATAGCCAGTACATAGGTGTATAATAATTATTTGATTTGTATCTACATTTCAGAATCGGACATCAATTATCTGATGAGACAGGCCTTGTTAAAACTAGCGTTTCTTCCCTTCGGTTATTTGGTGGATAAGTGGAGATGGCGGGTATTTAGTGGAGAGGTCACTCCCGACAAGTACAATGAGGAATGGTGGAAAATGAGGTACGCAATTTGAAATAAGAATATTCTGTACTGTACATGTTTTCAGAGAAAAATGTAAATAAATAAAACATAAATAAAAGAAAATGAACCAATTAAACTACAAAAATGAGTAGAAAAATTATAAATAAATACACTATACATAATCTTTTAGTAACTAGATAAATAAAGAAATTAATAAATGAATTAGCTTTATGTGGAGATAACCCCTATGAGTTGTTTATAGATTGGAGTACCAAGGAGTTACCTCCCCTGTCCCACGAACAATAACAGACTTCGATCCTGGGGCGAAGTTCCATGTTGCAGCTAATGCACAGTATATCGTGTAAGTACATGTACTTATCTCCTATATACTAGTAAGTAAAATTCACAAGTACTTAAAATTTTGCATGCTGACCTTTTCAAAACATCTGCCTTTAAATTACATGCATCTTATTGCAATTAATTTCTCTGCACCTTTTTCATTTGTGCCTTTGAGAATAAATCGAAAAAAAAATGTTTTCTACATACTCTTATACTATATTTTGTACATTTACAATTCATACTTCATAACAGATATTTTACCAGTTTTATCCTGCAATTCCAATTTTATGAAGCCATGTGTAACGCTAGCGGTCATCAGGGACCACTTTACACGTGCGATTTCTACAGATCAAAAGAGGCAGGACTCAAACTTTTGTAAGTTACATATACAGTATAATATTTACCCGTTGTGTCTGTAAGAATATAGGGAAGATACTAACTTTTTTTAATGCTAAAAAAAGAAATCGAATTCTTGTACAGAATAATTTTTTGCCAGGTGTGTTTTGTTTTTTTGTTGTTTTTTTTTTTTGTCCGATGTTTTCTTTATCAATGCTCTTCTTCACATCTGCGTAAAATTAACTTAGTAAACGTAAATTACGCACAGTAAAATAGCTCACAACTTTCAACACTATATTCATTCTATATGTTGTTTTTCTTTTTTACTTATTTCCAAAAAAATGATTCTTATTTTTAATTTAAGGAATATGTTGAAACTTGGTGGCAGCAAACATTGGAAAGAGGCTTTACAGCAGATGACTGGGAAATCCAAAATAGACACAGAACCTTTCAAAAAATATTTTCAGCCTTTAACGGATTTTTTGAAGAAAGAAAATAAAGGGGAAGTTGGTTGGGCAAAGGCCAACATAAATTGGAAACAGGAGACAAATAAATAAAGAATAAAAAGCATTGCATCTGTATCATTTTTAATGTTAATCTATTTTTGTTATGGTCATATTAATATAAGCAGGTGGACATTGAAGATACGTAGCCTACAGGTAACTGTGAACATAATATTCAATGGCATGGATAATACGGGTACATTGTATCAGGGGGGACACCCCCTCTCTTTTTTCCAAACATTACCTTTTAATGTTGAAAATGTTCATTGAAAGGCTGCAGTATAGTCAAATCGGGATAATGTGGTAATGTATGAAAAAAAATTTGATTGTCAAGGAAGTTAGAACCTACCACCCCCTCCCTCCCTTTGCACGCACATACACCCACACCCTCACACACACATACATGTACAATAGGGTTTTTGAGTTTGGACAATTAATCTCTCTTGTAAAAGTTTTTTCAGGTGTAAGTTGTCATTTTTTTCTGGCTGGCTCCTCTCACTTTCAAAAATTATACTACATGCCTGTAATAAGTCATGAAAAATGGTATATGTAGGTGTATCTCCTGATCGAATAAGATATCATAGTCAAGAGGACACTGCATACAGGTTAGATTCACAGGTGCTTGTGGACAGGACCCCCCCCCCCCCCCAATATATACTCTGGGTCCAAGGATATTTTTATACGTCTTTTTCCATAAATTAATCTTCTAGGACACATTTACAATGTATTCCATATGAAAAATCCAAAAAATAACGTAGAATTAACGTTTTATTAAAAAATCGTACCCGCGGTATTATAAAATACCGCGGAAATGTTTTTAATACATGTAAAACGTTAATTCTACGTTATTTTTTTGGATTTTTCACCTGTGGTCTTGATCTGCAGCATGTTCAAAGACCATGACTGATCCCTCATCAAATGTCATGAATTATATTTGGAATTGAAAAACGAATCGTCAATATTGAGGTGTTGTCGTTCTTTGCATGTTTTTTCTTTACATGTATACATCACAGGCACTTGGGGTATGGACCTCCCACCCCACCCCCCTTTTTCCATTTTTTTTTTTCTTTTTAAATCTGGGGTCCAGTCACCTTTTCCCTATTTTTGTATTCTAATATGCACTATATATTATCAATAATGCAACTCTTTTGTTTCTACCAGCTGTTTTTAAATATATCGTTTTCGACTGATACATAAAAAGAGAGAAGGCTTGCAACTCTTTTCTCGTCGTCTGCCTCACCTCGCTTAAACTTCGCCTGATTATTTATCTAAAGCATAAGAAAACATGGAATATGTATATGTCAATAAATTTGTTACACATTCTTCTTTCTTTTCATATTTCCATTTAATTTTTATGTGCCCCCGATTTGTAAATATTTCGATTAAATCACCCGCATCTAGGGTAAATTTTGTTGATGTGCACCAGCTGGGACGGAAGTGCAATAACGGTAACTCTAACTTTACAAATGTTCTGCATTAAAAAAAAATCCAGGCTTTGTATTAAAAATATTGTGAAATTTGGTTGTCTATGTCGTATGTAAAATGTTAATCTTCATCCATCAGAACCTTATAGTTACAGTTATCTTGTTATACACAGAACTTACCGTTACATGTAATATGAAGAGAAAATTCGGGATTTTTCCCTCTCGCATTTAATGTTCCGAATGACATTACACTTAATGATGACGCCAGAAAATACCGGGCACTTCCGTCCCAACTGGTGCACATCAACAAAATTTACCCTAAATGTGGGTGATTTAATCGAAATATTCACAAATCGGGGGCACATAAAAATTAAATGGAAATATGAAAAGGAAGAAGAATGTGTAACAAATTTATTGACATATGCATATTTCATGTGTTCTTATGCTTTAGATAAATAATCAGGCGAAGTTTAAGCGAGGTGAGGCAGACGATGAGAAAAGAGTTGCAAGCCTTCTCTCTTTTTATGTATCAGTCGAAAACGATATATTTAAAAACAGCTGATAGAAGCAAAGAGTTGCATTATTGATAATATATAGTGCATATTAGAATACAAAAATAGGGAAAAGGTGACTGGACCCCAGATTTAAAAAGAAAAAAAAATGGAAAAAGGGGGGTGGGAGGTCCATACCCCAAGTGCCTGTGGTATACATGTATGCTTGAGTGGCATTTCAAAATCTTATGACAGAATTAAGAATCCACGGGGCCTGTTTTACAAAAGAATTTAATATTTAGACCAACAACTAATTGATTATAAAATCTTACAAAACTAATGTTTCTGTACAAAAAAAAATGCTTGCATAAAAATATCTTTCTGAATTCTTTTTAAAAAGATTAAAAACAATTTTCAAATTAATGTAAAAAAAGAAAGTTATTCGCAAAAGTTTTAGTCCGCTGTCGTAAGTTCTTTTGTAAAACGGAGCCCCCTAAAAAAATAAAAAAGGCTAGTTAACTATTAACTATACTTGTAAATAAAGTATGTACGCTGTATAACTAAAGTAAGTAACTATATACTTACTTACTTACTTGCATACATGCACATTTTTCTTAATAATTAAATGGAAATATGACTTGTACAGTTATTCACATATTATCTCCAAATTTTACCTCATTTGTATTGAATTTAAAAAAATCTACACACAGAAATTTCACAAATAGTTCTAAAGTAAATTTTCATTATGATAGTCGATCAAAGTATTTGCTACAGATTTCTCCATATACCCGATCATGACATAGGACACGCAGAACGTGTGACCAGTCAACAGGTGATGCTTATTCCTCCATGGCACCTGATCCTACGTCTTATGTTTTCAGAGGTCTGTGCGGTTTGCTCTGCTCAGAATTCTTATCGTTTGATTAGATTCTTAAGCAAGACTACTTTTAGAATTTAAACTGATTGTGGAATTCCCATAATACATTTCTCTTAACGTTAAGTCCATTGTTAAAACAAAGTATTTTTAAATTTTTAAACAAAATCAAAATCATAGAACGATTTTAACTATAACTTTGCACAAAACGTAAACTGAAATAAGATTCAAGTCTCTTCAGAGAGAGGGGAGGGGGTATATTCTTCTCAAGACCCGACATCAGATCCGATTCGTAAAACGTCAACATACATATTGGAACATAGCTTCGCTACCCAAGGGTTTCTGACCCCCTACATCTGATCCCCTCCTCACAAACGATAGGGTGTAGGGGATCAGAAATCCTTGGCTAGCGAAGATGATGGAACCCACTTCTTCTTTTTTTTTTTAAATATATGTGTCATTTGTATATAATACACCATCATTTCTTTTTGAGTGATGTTTCTAAATTTTGTTTATTTAGTTAACCAAAAGGATACTTTACCATCCTGACAAAGTCGGGGGCCCTGAGTTCACTCGTGATCATGAAACCCTTGACAAAATTTATTAAATTTTTACAGGTTGACTGAAGCAACGTCTTCCGGGGAAATTAACATATCTTGATTATCATTCTTATCTCTCCATCAATCACATATAAAGCCTTTTGGTGACAACTTGTACCGCATGCATTGAGTGTCAACTACATGTACTAACATTCTGTTTACGTTTTCTGCCAATTTACGAAAGCCCCAATTTGATTGGTGCTTCGCAACGAGAGAAGCAAGCCCCAAAATACCAGATGGGGTTTTTACTGGTTCCAGGAACACGAATGGACTGTGGATCCTTGACGTTGTGTGGTTGCCTATTTATTGAAAAAAAAATCTGGTTTGTCAAGACACCTGATGGCGGCCATGTTAAATGTTTGCAAACCAATTTACGAAACGTCAGCATGCACCATTTTTTTCAATGGCAGGAGGGAGGGGCGTTTTTTTTTTAAGAAAGTGTAACAATTAAGTTTTAATTAGTGAATATGTCCTCGTATATATATATCTAACTATTGCTAACAGGGTAACAACTTTTGAAAGGTGATGTACAAGAGTTTTCCATAAAGTTCGTGAACAATGACGAATTTTTTTTCAAACTGAACGGTCCTAGTTATACTTATTGCATAACAAAATAATTGTTATTAAAATCCAAATCTGAATCGTTTGAATTTGATATGATATTTTTGTAAATATCCGGGTCTTTAAAGGTCGCTGATAGTGCGCACGGCCCAGGGTTAAAATGCTCAATTTTGAACTAATTTAAAGTTTTTACATTAAAATGATTATTTTCTTCATAAATTAAGTCAAAAATTAATAAAAATTAAATGTGCTGCAAATAAAGCGACTGTCTTCATTTTTCATGATATCTTAAGTATCGATTACTGGACAGACACTGAAAATATAAAGGAAAAAAACTGCAAGAAGTATGTTTCTAAAATTGACAGAAAAAGCGACTTCAGCCATCTGAATAGAACAGCGTCCAGTCATAACAATTATGTTTTGATATGATTAAAACGACGTCGGAGATAATAATCTTTCAAACATCTGAAAATTATTCGAAAATATTTAGTTCTATGATTTGAGATTGATAAGATATATCGATCGTTGTTTAAACGGTGTGTACGGTTTGGGAGACAGTACAAGAAGTGGAAAATCACTGCTACGTTTTAATAAATATAGCACAAAGTCGGACTGGGCAGTAATGCTTATCCTAATGACGCTCGAACAGTCTATATTATTATCAGCCGCAGGAGCGGCCGATCTATTTTTGGTTGTGTTAGAATGTGCACATGGAGAAATGAGTCGTTATTTTTTCATTGCTTCGATGGAATAATTTTTCAATTTCTATCAGATATGTATCAATGTATGATTTTATTTATATAAAAAAAAGTTGTTTCATGAACTGCTACCGGTGTGCTTAAGATATGAAAACAAAACGTATTAAGTTTTCGAATATGAATTACAGTGCTTAAAATAATTAATGAATTATAAAAATTTAAAGAAAAAGTTGATTTTGTTTTTAATAAACTACAGTTGCAAAGGATACAATGATTATTTTTTGTCTGCACTTCACATTTATTGTGAAACGTATATCATCGGCATTATCACGTGACAGAGATCCAAGTACGTATCAGCACTTGAAAGTCTGTATGTCATTTTTGTCAGCATTCAGATATTCTGAATTTCATATTAACATTTTTAAATAGTT